GCAGCATTTATAATAAAGTTATATTTAATATTTATTTGCTATGTATATGTAGGGATGTGGGTCTATACATATGTTGTTCATAGTATGTATTAAGTGTGTGTCATGTATGTGTTTCACTTTGAGAGCGGGCAACTAAATTTCATTTTTGATGTGTGCCATTGTGCCCACAGTATGAAAATGACAATAAAGGTTATCTTGGCTTATCTTATCTTATCTTATTGGCCACCTACCTTTTGCTCTCTGATGCCAGTTGTGCTTCTGCCCCTAGGCCAAGATCAAAGCCCGTGATTTGCGAGGGAAGAAGAAGGAAGAGCTGTTGAAACAGCTAGATGACCTCAAGGTGGAACTGTCTCAGCTCCGTGTTGCCAAGGTGACCGGTGGAGCAGCTTCCAAACTCTCCAAGATGTGAGTTTTCCCTTCTGCTTCTCCATACTCGCTATCGGGGTTCTGGGAAGGGGGAAAAACAGTATTGCTTGTTGCTTCCTTGATTCCCTCTTGTGATTTATTCATATATATATATATATATGTTTAATTTCCAGCCGGGTGGTTCGCAAATCCATTGCCCGCGTGCTGACGGTCATTAACCAGACCCAGAAAGAAAACCTCAGGAAATTCTACAAAGTGAGTCTGGAAGCGTTGATTCCTTCCTCCTTTTTGTCGGGATTTCTTTTCGGTAGGAAGTGCCGGGCCCCCAAGAAAACGACCCATGGAGTTACTCTGGGGACTGTGATATAAATATGAGGCTGGTTTAGGGCCCTAAGGCTCATTGATTAAGGCGCTGGCTGATGGCTCATTGATTAAGGGCGCTGAGCTTGTCAGCTGCTAATTTGACAGCCTGGGATCGAGACCCCCCAGCGCCTCGCGACTGGGTGAGTTCCTGTCCCTTGCTCCAGCTCCTGCCCATAGAACAGTTCGAAAGCACGCAGCTGCGAGTAGATAAAACAGGTACCATGTTGGTGGGAAGGTAGCAGCGTTTCACGTATAGTCACGCCAGCTACACGACCACGGAAAATTGTCTTTGGACCATGATGCCTCCCTCGGCTAACCCTTGAGTCGGACACGATTGGACAGGACAAACCTTTTTAACTTTAAGACACTGAGGGCCAGCGGGCGGGATTAATCTGGTGGCTTGCAAGGCTATCACCCAAAACTGCTCAACGATTTTGTGGGTGCAGTGTGAACCTGCTCTTGCCAAAGCAAGTCCCCTGGCGGGTAGCCTTTGCCAAGCCAGTGTAGTCAAGCCGCTATCCACCAGGTACATTATTCTCTTGAGGGCACCCTTCCTTCCTTTGTCTCACTTTAAGTCTTCTTAAAATGGGAATTTAAAATCTCTGTTGGCTAAGCCATAAGAGACTTACTTGCAGGGAGTCCTCGATTTAAAATTGTTTAGTGACCGTCCAAAGTTACAGCAGCACTGGAAAAGTGCCTTAATGGCCACGGCCCTTGGCAGCATCCCCGCGGTTACGTGGTCAAAATTCAGACCTTTGGCAACTGACTTCGTAATTTTGACAGCTGCAAGGTCACGTAATCCCTTTTTGTGACTTCCCAGCCGGCAGAGTCAACAGGGAAGCCAAGTCTGCTGAACAGCTGCGGCAAGAAAAGTGGTAAAAAATGGGGCAAAACTCACTTAAGAGATGTCTCGCTGAGCAACGGAAATTTGGGACACCCGTCGTGCCGAGTCAGAACATGGGTGAGATCCTGGCATGGCGCTGGGTTCCTCCGGCTAGCCTCCTTGAGCCCATGAGAATGTCTAAACAAACAATGGAGGTTCCTTTGATGTGTGTTTACATCACGCATAGCCAGCCATTCGTAGCAATACTGTCTGAAACAATGAAAAGGGCAAGCACAAAGCACAACTTTGATTTGCACACTGAGATAAATATTAACAGATCCATTCGTCATTCTTAAGTTTCTGGCCGTCTGGAATGATTGAGCACCAAGGGGTGTGCACCAGCCCGTTGCAAATAAGCCTTTGGGGGGGGGGGGAATACTCCGTAGCTCAGCCTTCCTTTCCCACAGTGGCAGCTGTTTCTGGGAGGCCCAAATAGAAAGACCCCCAGTAGCAGACCCTCAGAAGCCAATTTCCTCTGATCCCAGGGCAGAGAATCGGGGTGCTTTGTAATATTGCAGCGTAGAAGATTTGTCGCTTAACGCTATACACGAGAATCTGGTCAGCTAACTTCAACACTAAATTGGCACTCGGATCAGGATCAGCGGGCATTCAGGAGAGATGGGACTTGGGACGCTTGTGGGAACCCAACGATTCTAAACTGATGGTGCGCTTAATTCCCCCCTCCAAGAGGTGGCCTACATTAATATCCGCAGTAGCCATGGATAACCTCTGGGAAGTTCGTCCCTGATACTGCCACGCTCGGCACCACACACCACAGTTGCCGGTATTTTGTTCTGAGCTTCCAGCATTTCTCGGGCTGTTAACTTTCTCTTTTTTCCCTCCTGGCCACAGAACAAGAAGTACAAGCCACTGGACTTGCGTCCCAAGAAGACACGCGCCATGCGGAGGCGGCTAAACAAACACGAAGAAGGTCTGAAGACCAAGAAACAGCAACGGAAAGAGCGGCTTTACCCCCCTCGCAAATACGCCGTGAAGGCTTGAGGCGGTCACCTGCCCATTGACTGTCAAAGAAGAACTGGCCCATTAAAAGATTTTTCGACAAAAAAACGAATGGGTTGTGCTGGTGTCTCTTGGGCAACTGCAGTTGGGCTGGGGGATAAGGGCCTTCTCTGTGGGAGCCCCCACCCTGTGGAATGAACTTCCCCCAGAGATCCGGATTATTCCGGATCTCCCCTCCTTCCGCCGTGCCCTCAAGACATGGCTTTTCCATCAAGCGGGATTGGCCTAGGGGGGGGATTGTATAGGGATTTTAATAGGGATTTTATAACTTTTCTAAAAATAACAGGCTAATTTAATATATATTTTAATTGTTTTTAGATATTTATTGTATAGTTTCGTTTTTTATTTGCCTGTAAGCCGCCCTGAGTCCTTCGGGAGAAGGGCGGGGTATAAATTAAAGTAATAATAATAATAATAATAATAATAATAATAATAAGAGGGTGGGGGGGTCTCTAGCTTGAAAGGTTACTCGCCTGCGTGGGGAGGACGGCTAGGAAGAGTTTCCCCTTCTCCCACAATGTCATTAAAAGTCACACTCAGCCACAAAAAAAAACAAGCATGGGAGGTCTTTGACTGACAGCCATTTTCTTTAGTGACCGTTCCAAGTTGTGAAAAAGTGACTTAATAGCAAAAATCAGGGTTTGAGGGAAAGACTTCCATGCAGAATCTGGTTAACCTCCATAATTTGTTTCCCACCACTGAGGTGTCAATGAGTTGGGTGGTTTCAGGGGAGCATTGGACGTGGTCAAGGAGAACCCAACAGATGGTTAAACTGTGGAGATCTTGGCCTTCTCGGGCAGATCGACGGAAGATTGAAGGGAGGGTTGACGGGTGCATTTCGTTTCACCTTTATAGGTTTTTAGGAAAAATGCTCTGCGTTGTGAAGCATCTTGAACATGGACACGGCAGCGTTCCATTTGTGGAACAAACGGGACCTTCTTGCCTCATCCTTGGCCAAAGTCAGTTTGCCGTCCCACTAACTAGCTTGGGCCCTGGAACGGCTAGACCAAACTGGAAATCTTAAATTCTCCCAGTTCTTTTCTAGTTCTTTGTTGCCCCTAAATTAAAATAACTTTGTTTCCTCCTCTTTCTTCTTTTCCAACTTGAGTTCCTGTTCACTGACCACAAGAAACTTAAAACTGATATTCCAAATTGAAGCCATTGCCGGTCAGTTCCTCCTTCCTGGTTCCTCTTAAGGACAGCGTGAAGCATTTTTCAATTGTTTGCACACTGTTTTGGTTTAAAAGTAGCCCAAAGGGTGGTGTCATGTCAAAAAGGAAGTATTGCTATGTCCCAGCTTTAATTATACTTAACTTAAAATTTTGCACACAATGGCAAACCAAAAAGGGGAGGGAAAAAAAACAAGAAAAGAAAAAAGAAAACCAGAATTAAGAAACAGAGATGACATCCGGCTTCTTTTCAACAGATCATTCGATTCTCCTTGTCCCTTATTGGGAACAGTGCAATGCAACGGTGATATTTAATATTTGACGGTGTATGCTTGTAAGATGTGTACGATAGTGTTCAATCGTGGAGCATTTTTAAAAATTATTTTAATTTGTCTTTTGCCTTTATTGTTTTTCCAAATAAGGTGAACATATCCAACACACCTCTCTCTATATATATCTGTCCATCTATCTGTCATGCTTGCTGCCAATCTTGTAATGAAACGACTCAAAAATTATGCATGCATTATTCGTTTGTATTCTGCCTTTTATTATTTTTACAAAGCAACGCTTATCCAACACACCTTCCTGTTTTCCTCACGACAACCCTGATGGGCTGGTCTGAGCAAGTGGCGGCCCAACGTCACCTTAGCCAGCTTTCACGGCTAAGGCGGGACTAGAACTCACCGTCTCCTGGTGATGACGCCAAAGTCACCCAGTCGACTTTCCTCCCTGAAGCGGGATTAGAACCCATGGTCTCCTGCTCTCTAGCCCTGCTGCCTTAACCACTGGACAATATTAAAATAATTCAAAGATGCCAACAGGTTCAAAAGTGCTTCTGTTTTACATTTTATCCCAAGGACGTGCATTTCCTTTGCAAATCTTTTGAATTCAAAATTTCTGTTTCCTCTTCAGAGGAGGCAGCCAGACTGGAGCCCTTTTTTTTTTTTGCTGGTCCCAGAATTTTATTGCTGATCTCAACGGCTAAATAGCAGGAAACTTAAATGCGAACCGTACAATTGGTTTCACGCTGCTTTTAAACGCTGGCCTCCTTCAGGTCCGCTGAGTTTGGAAAACTACAGGAAGGTCAACTTCGATATCATTTTAAGATGTTGCCCGCAAAGAGCTGGGACTTGGGGGGATTTTTTGGGGGGGGGGGCTGAATTTCAAGAGGAGGAGGGATTTAAGGTGAGGCCTTAAGGGGTTGGACTAGAAGACCTCTCAGGTCCCTCCCAGCCCTATCGTCCTACGCTCTGTGGTCTAAAAACCCATCCAGAATGAGGACGCTCTTAACATTCAGGATGTCGGCTGTATTAGGGGAGAGATGTCCGCTCTGATTGAACAGTGTGCTAGGATCTCTGGCCTGCGAACAGAGTTCCGTGAGGACCGCAATAAGAGGAATCCCAGGTTGCCCTCGCATGGCCAATGTTGCTGGACCTCAAGCCAAGATACCGCAGGGCATCCATCCATGATTCGAGGTGGACAGCCCTGTCCGACAGGTTCTGGATAATACGGCATGCAAAGCAGTTTCCTCCAGGGAAAACCCCTCGCTCTCTCTCCCTCCCGACGGATGGTTGCTGCTAAATAGTTTTCCAGGGTTAGGCAGAAGCAAGGGTCCAAGAATTGGGATGCAAATGAGGATGCAATTTGGGGAGAGAGAGAGAGAGAGAGAGAGAGAGAGAGAGAGAGAGAGAGAGAGAGAGAGAGAGAGAGAGAGAGAGAGAGAGAGAGAGAGAGGTAAGAATTTCAGCACGTAGATACCTACCTCTCCTTCCCCTTCCTCCTTCCCTTTTTCTTTCCTCCGTCCCTTCTCTCCTCCTCCTTCTCCCCCTTCTCCTTTTCTTCTCCTTCTCATCCTTCTTTTTCTCATCCTTCTTCCCCTTCACTTTCTGGTTTCCTTCCTTCCTTCCTTCCTTCCTTCCTTCCTTCCTCATCCCGTTCCAGTTAGGATTTCAGGGCTCCCTGAATTGATTCAGTCAAAGCTGGACTGGTTTTAAGGATGGCCACTCCCCCTATTTCTTGTTTACTCCCACTTTCAGGATCCCATTCAAAGGGGGTCTGCAGGGACAGCTCCCCCTCCCCCCCAAGAAGCTTTAAAGGGCCTTGGGTTGACTTGACCACCTAGAACATAGAATATCAGAGTTGGAAGGGGCTTTAGAGGTCTTCCAGTTCAACCCCCTGCTCAGGCAGGAAGCCCTATACCCATTTCAGACAAATGGTTGTCCAGTCTCTTCTTAAAAACCTCCAGTGATGGAGCATCCACAACTTCTGGAGGCAGGTGGTTCCACTGATTAACTGTCAGGAGTTTTCTCCTTAATTCTAGGTTGCTTCTCTCCTTGGTTGGTTTCCATCTATTGCTTCTTGTCCTGCCTTCAGGTGCGTTGACCCCCCCCCTTCTTTGTGGCAACCCCATCCAATATTGGAAGACCGCTATCATGTCACCCCCGGTCCTTCTTTTCACTAGACTAGACAAACTCAACTCTTGCAACTGGATTTCAGATTGCAGTAGACGCTATCTCTGGAATACCTCTCCTTCTCTCGCTTCACGTTTTGCCCTCCTTTTTGCTTTTCCTCTCTCTGGGCCTTTACCTTTACCACAGATATGCAAAAGAGGGTAGGTATCTGTCCATTGTTGAAGCTCCCTCCGTACATTTGCATGTTGTTGTCTCCCAGATCTGGGAGCAGGAAGAGAGACAAGTCTGAAAAACACCAAGCCTTTGAGGCGAGCCGAGGCATGTCATAGATGGAGCTGCCCAGCCTGGATAGAGAAGACCCTCCGGCTGGTGAGTGAGCAGGGCCTCTTCAAAGAGGTTCTTCTTCCATGGGAGACGGGAGGAGAACCTCAACCGGTTCAGTTGGCGACCCTTGTAGCCAACCGCCGGTTCCCTTTCTTCTCTTATCAGGAAACCAAGTTATACAATCTGGACTTTGGAACTTGCGTAGAGGGAGATTTGGGTTTTCGGCGCCAAGAACCGGGGCTTTGAGAAGATCCGTTTTTTTTCTTATCAAGCTTAGCTTTGATGTTCTGAGCGACGGTTGGTCTCGGTCGCTGGGTTAAGCTATAAAAATGTTGATTGGGTTCACACCCTGCATGAAAGCAGTTTCGTCTCTTATCTCCTTGTGGTCTCACAGAATAACAGTCCTCCTCCTCCTTCTTTCTTTCTCCTACTCCTCCTCAACTCCTCAACTCCACAAACCCCACTCCCTTCTAGCACTGATAACGTTCCCTAGTTGGGTCATGAAACGTCTGCGAGAAAACCACCCGGCTCAGAGAGCACCAAGGACCCCACAGTTCAGTCCTGGGCTACAAATAGCCTCCACAAACTCTAGAAAGAAGTAAGCTAAGTGGACCTCTTCTGTTCTGTAAGACATATTTTGGTCCAGATGGGCTGAATCTGCCGGGGTAGGTAGAATGTTCAACAGGTCAGGCCTAGGTAGTGCATGGAGGAGACAATCAGATCATCCCACCCTGGAGAAGTAGATATGACTTCAGGAAGGGCAGCAAAGCCAAAAAAAAATTGCAGGCACGGGTCCCACATTCCGAGGAACGGAACTGAACGGGAAGGAAGTTGACCACCGCTTGCGTTCGGAGTATTTTCGCTTCTTCCTTCCTCTGGCTGTGACTTGCTGGCTCTCGGTCACTCCTCCTGACCTCAAGATATCCAGAAGAACGGCTTCTGCCTGCTGCGGGAATGTTCTCATTGTCCTGTCGGACCAAGCACATTCCCTGGCTGTCTTTCTAACCACCCCAGTCGCCTCTCACTGACCTGAGCCTGCTTGCCAAAGGGGTAGAGCGGTCAGTATGCAAGCCTCTCCAGCCCACACTGTCATTAAAAGCGGACTTCCTGTGCAGCCGGGAGGCAGCCAATGAAAGAGAGCTGTTGGCAAAGGACACTTGTGTGTGTGTGTGTGTGTGTAAGTTAAAACCTCTCTTGCAACAGACAGCCTGCAGGCCGTCAGCCAAACATAGCAGCAGCACAGCTGAGATAAGACCTCGGGCGGGCGTGTGCGGATGGAGAAGGAAGCATGAGGAAGAGGAGAGACGGTCTCCTCCCCAGAGGGCTGTTTTTCTCTTTCTTTCTCACACGGGCACCACAGCAGGTTGTGGCGCCTCTGCCCCCACAGCTGGACTCTTCCCAAGCCGCTTGGGAGCCCAAGCCCTGAGCGATGGGGCCGGTGGTGTTCCTGTGTAGAAGGGAAGACAGTCCCCTGCTGGTGAAGCTCCCCAGATCAGATGCTTGGTACGGTAACCTTCTTCTTTCGGTGGACGGGCTGGTCTTGGAGGGTCAGCGATGGAGGGGACAGGACGCTTTGGGGCGCGGAGGATGCAGCTGGGCCAGCTTTGGGAAAGGAAATCTTTGGGGCTCTGAAACTGGTTCTTGGCTTGCAGGTGCATCGTGACCCAGCTAGGTAAAAACATCAGTGCTGCTGAGTGCGGCTTGCTCTCTGTTTATACACAGTAGTTAGCGCGGTGGGGCTTTTTTGCAGACGTTTCATGACCCAACTAGCATCATCAGTGCTAGAAGGGAGTTAGGTGTGTGAGGAGGAGGAGGAGGAGGAGGAGGAGGAGGATTGTGGGGTCTTTGGTGCTCTCTGAACTTGGATGATTTCTTGCAAACGTTTCATGACCCAACTAGGGAACATCATCAGTGCTAGAAGGGAGTGGGGTATGTAAAAAGAAGAAGGAGGAGGAGGAGGAGGAGAACTGTGGGGTCCTTGGTGCTCTCTGAGCCCGGTTGGTTTCTTGCAGATGTTTCATGACCCAACTAGGGAGCATCATCAGTGCTAGAAAGGAGTGGGGTGTGTAGGGGACAGGAGAAAGAAAGGGGGAGAAGGAGGAAGAGGACTGTAGACCTGGGTGCTCTCTGAGCTTTGTTGTCTTTCTGCAGATGTTTTATTACCCAACTAAGTAACCTCATCAGGGCCATAAGGGGAGGAGGAGGAGGAGGAGGAGGAGGAGGACTGTGGCGTCCTTGGTGCTCTCTGAGCTTGCTGGTTTTCTTGCAGACGTTTCATGACCCAGCTAGGTAACATCCTCAGTGCTTTAGGAAGTTTCTGTGGAAGAAGCCAGCTGGAGTTTTAAATATTTCATTTTTTTTGGGGGGGGGGAGAGATATACAGTAACCACTAGCTTTTTCCCCCCAGCAGATCGTGTTGTTGGTCAGGGATACAGAGGAAGAGAGGCTGGTAGAAAAGACGGCGACTCGTAGACATCACCCACCTCGGTGTCCCTGAGTGGGGGGCTCCAAGCAGTTTAGGGGATATTATGGACAGTTTATTAATATTTGGGAGGAGTTCCATCGAAATCTGGAGGGTTTTTGTTGCTGTTCTTGTTTGGGATTTCTGCTGGAAGTTATGAGCTCCCATTTGGCTTTCTGGAGGCAGCTGGGTGCAATGTAGGGCGTGTGTGTGTGTGGTGTGTGTGTTGCCAGTCCTCTTTTGGGGAAATGAAGTGACTGTGAAGCAGAATTGTCCCATTTCCGGCCACCGATTAAAAAAGACAAAAATGATGGAGAGGTTCGCGACCTTTAGAGATTTTGTTGGGGAAGCCTAGAATTGGCTTCTCGTCTTTGTGTGTCAAGGGAAGCAACGGAGAAAAGTTGAGGTGGTGGCCATGGGATCCCAAAGTCTTTGGGGCCCTGGGTGCTCCCTGCACTGGGTGGTGTTTTTTTTTGTGTGTGTGTGTTTTTTTGGCAGACGTTTCATGACCCAATTAGGGAACTTCGTCAGTGGTAATCGGTGGGGACGTCAGCACTGATGAGGTTACTCAGTTGGGCAATGAAACGTCTGCGAGAAAACCGCCCAGCTTAAAAAGCACCAAGGACCCCACATCTTCCTCCTCCTCCTCCTCCTCCTCCTCTCCACACACCCCACTTCCTTCTAGCGCTGATGATTTGCCAAATTGGGTAGATGAAACGTCTGCAAGAAAACCACCAAGCTCAGAGAGTACCAAGGATCCTACACTTCTCCTCCTGCTCCTCTGCCTCCTCCCCACACACCCCACTTCCTTCTAGCACTGATGCTGTTACCCAGTTGGGCAATGAAACGTCTGCAAGAAAACCGCCAAGCTTAGGGAGTACCAAGGACTCCACAGTCCTCCTCCTCCTCCTCCTCCCCCCTTTTACTCTCCTCTACAAAGCCCACAGTCTTCCAGCACTGATGCTGTTACCCAGTTGGGCAATGAAACGTCTGCAAGAAAACCGCCAAGCTTAGGGAGTACCAAGGACTCCACAGTCCTCCTCCTCCTCCTCCTCCCCCCTTTTACTCTCCTCTACAAAGCCCACAGTCTTCCAGCACTGATGCTGTTACCCAGTTGGGCAATGAAACGTCTACAAGAAAACCTCCAAGCTCAGACAGCACCGAAGACTCCACAGTTCAGCCCTGAGCAACAAATATATCTTAAATATCACTTAAAAGTGGCAGGGTTTTTTATTTTTTTTGCCCAAGAAATACCTTCATCTAGCTGTAGATGCATCTATAGCCAAAGGCATAAGAACAAGGATGAACTCTAAATACTGACAACCTTTAGAACTGTGTAACAAATTAAGCTTTTCCCCTCCCCAGTTATGGGGAGAGGCAAGTGGTGTCACCTCATGAGCTGATAACCAATGCTGAAAATTGACGCTGTGCCTCTTTGCAACCGGCAGAAATGGGTTCTTCAGAACACGGTATGCTGCTAGACCACATTGTGGGCTGATTCTTTGGAAGTGGGGTTGGGGGTGGGAAGGGCAGGTGGTGTCACCTTAACAGCTGGTAACAAATGCTGAACTTTGCTCCCCCTCTTCTTTGCTTTGCAAATGAATTTCCCCAGCGGAACAGATGCTTTAGAATCGCAAGAGGCTAGACCACATTGAGAGCATTTTCCGCACAGTGAAAAGAAGGAGTAGGGGTGACATGATAGCAGTGTTCCAATGTTTGAGGGGCTGCCACAAAGAAGAGGGAGGGGTCAATCTATTTTCCAAAGCACCAGAAGGCAGGACAAGAAGCAACGGATGGAAACTAATCAAGCAGAGAAACTAAAAAGAAACTTTATAACAGTGAGAACAATTAACCAGTGGAACTCCTTGCCTCCAGAAGTTGTGGCAGCTCCATCACTGGAGGTTTTTAAGAAGAGACTGGACAGCCACGTGTCTGAAATGGCATAAGATCTCCTGGTCGAGCAGGGGGTTGGACTAGAAGACCTCCAAGGTCCCTTCCAACGTTGTTATTCAGAGAAAGTTCTAACCTGTATTCCAGTTAGGAATATTTCTAGAGCTCCAGAGTAAGCCTGTCAATCTTTTGTATACAGTTGTGCTTTCTCTCTTTCACTAGGCATGCCAAAAAAAAAAAAAAAAACCCCAGCTAAAATGGACTCATCCCTTCTGCTTTCTGCCTGAAAAACCGCTCACGGCTTTACCGATCCTGTAAGGCGGTTCAAAGCAGAAGGATAGAATTCAGGAAAGATAAGTCGACAAGCCAGCTTTGGAGATAGTATTTCTGCTTCTTCGTGGCAGTGACTCATTTCCGATATCCACAAGCCACATGTGGAGCTGATCCCCTTACTGGCTGAAGAAGCAAACATTGGGGGGGGGGGGGGGGGAAGAGAATCGCAAGGATGTGAGTTTAGGAAAACAGACCCGCGTAGTAGAACTTTAAACTAATCTGCAACGCTGGAAGTTTTCACGTCTTGCCAAGCAGCTTGCTCTCGTTTTTTTAGGATGGGGGGGAGAGGGAAAAAACCACCCCAGCAGGGTTGCAAAACTTGCGTTCTGCCAACCAGGTGAAAGGAAAGAATCGGAAACCTGGTGAGAGAGAAAACGAAGAGGAATTTTGCACCCGTGAGATAAAAGAGAAAGTCTGAGCAAGCAATTTGGGAAGAGGGAGAGAGAGAGAGAGACAGAGAGAGAGACAGAGAGAGAGACAGAGAGAGACAGAGAGAGAGAGAGAGAGAGAGAGACACAGAGAGAGAGACAGAGAGAGAGAGAGAGAGAGAGAGAGAGAGAGAGAGAGAGAGAGAGAGAGAGAGAGAGAGAGAGAGAGAGAGAGAGAGAGAGAGAGAGAGAGAGAGAGAGAGAGAGAGAGAGAGAGAGAGAGAGAGAGAGAGANAACGCAGGCAGTCCTCGACCCACGATCACATTTAAGCCCCAAATTTATGTTGCTAAGCGAGACATTTATGAAGTGAGTTTTGGCCCCACTTTGTGACTTTTCTTGCCACAGTTACTAAATGAATCACTGCAGTTGTTAAGCTAGTCGCACACTGTTACGCGAATCCAGCTTCCCCATCGACGTAGCTTGTCAGAAGGGCGTAAAAAGGGGACCACCTGAACCCAGGACACGGCAACCGTCACAAACACGAGTCGGTTGCCAAGCGTCTGATATTTTGATGCTGCAAAGGTTGTCGAGTGTGAAAAACGGTCGTAAGTCATATTTTTCAGTGCCGTCGTAACTCTGAACGGTCGCTAAGCAAACTCTGGACTTCCTGTAACCTCCTTTTTTTTTTTTTTTGCAAGCCGCCCCAAATTTAAGAAGCCTCGGTTCAAACGGATCCTAGTTACTTTCTCCTTCTGTGCTAACAGGCCGGAATGAGATCAAACTGGTTTGCTGAGTTCTTCACCCCCCCCACCCCACCCTGGGAATCAAAGTTAATAATTATTGAGGAGAGCATTCGTAGCAGAGATAATTGCCAGATGCAATCTGGGTTGTGGATTGACGCGTGCTTTCGCAAGCCTTCCAGCGTGACCCGGGTCTGCGTGAGGCTGTGTTCGCACAAGTCCAGGTGGTTCCTGAGAAAGTTATCCGCTCCAAAGCCGCCCGCTTTTACGCACCGGGATGACGAAAGAGGTACAGTAGAAAGGATACAGATCTGGGCCGTTTCACTGATGTTGTCGTGAGTTGGCACATACGACAAGGCTGCTTGTGAGAAGCTGGTGCACTTGGATACACACACACACACACATCAGTAACTCATGCAGAGGTATAACAGAGAAGCTCTGAGGACGAACACGTCCAGATTACAGGAAGTCCTCGACTTACTGCAGTTCATTTAGTGACTGAATTGAAACAAGGGACTTGTGACTTGTGTTTTTCGCATTGACGGCCACTGCAGGATCCCCAGGATCACATGATCAAAATTCAGACGCTTGGAAACTGGCAGGCACATACGACGGTTGCATTGTCCCGGGGTCGTGTGATCCCCTTTTGCGACCGTCTGACCAACAAAGTCCAGATCCACTTCACAACTGTGTGAGTAACTTAACAGCTGCAGTGATTCACTTAACAACTGTGGCAAGGGCGGTCGTAAAAATGGGGCAAAAAGTCACTTAACAAACGTCCCGTTAGCAACAGAGGTTTTGGGTTCAAGACTCCCAAGAGTTCCCAAAGCTGGGCTGCAGAAATGCAGATGACCAGCAGATGGCAGCGGAGACCACAGAATGGTCCTCCAGATGTTTGCAGCTGGAACTGGCAGGCCTCTGTTTGCAGGATCTTATGGACAGTGTGAAAGTGAGCCCATCACGGCTAGCCTGAAGATGGTGCTGCTCTACAAGGCGCGTCTTTTTCTTTGAGAGAAAAGTTGCACCTTCCAGGTCCAGATTGTAAGAGATGCTTCAGCATGAATGCCAGACTTCTGAAAGGGGTGGGGGGCTGCTACCCACCTGGAAAAACCCTGGAGGGGTGGGGGACTGAAGTGGTGTAATCCTTTCCATCTCACAGCCCATCCAGTTGTCTGTCTATCTGTCTGCCCATCTATCATTATATCTATCTATCTATCTGTCTGTCTGTCTGTCTGTCTGTCTGTCTGTCTGTCTGTCTGTCTGTCTGTCTGTCTGTCTGTCCGTCCGTCCGTCCGTCCGTCCGTCCGTCCGTCCGTCCGTCTGTCTATCCGTCCGTCTATCTATCTATCTGTCTATCTATCTATCTATCTATCTATCTATCTATCTATCTATCTATCTATCTATCTATCTATCTTGCACTCAAATTGTCTCTCCATCCATCCATATCTATCTATCTATCTATCTATCTTTCTATCTGTCTGTCTGTCTGTCTGTCTATCTATCTATCCATCCATCTATCTATCCATCCGTCTATCTATCTATCTATCTATCTATCTATCTATCTATCTATCTATCTATCTATCTATCTATCTATCTATCTATCTATCTATCTATCTTGCACTCAAATTGTCTCTCCATCCATCCATATCTATCTATCTATCTATCTATCTATCTATCTATCTATCTATCTATCTATCTATCTATCTATCTATCTATCTATCTGTGTATCTATCTATCTATCTATCTATCTATCTATCTATCTATCTATCTATCTCTACATATCTATTGTCTATTATTTTTATTAAAGATTATTTAAAAGGAAGATAAAAATTAATACAAAGTAAGGAAAAGAAAAGACAGAACGCTAAGAGAAAGCTAAAAGAACCGGGGTGGGGGGGTGGGGGGGGAATAATAATAATAAAAAAATAGAAAAAAAAAAGTCAGAGGATACCAGGAATTTTCTCCCAGTCTTCTGAGCAGATCTACTTCCAACAGGACACCCCTGAATTAACTCCTTTCTTTTTATGAAACCAGCATATTTGTGCCTTAGATACACAGGCATATTCCTCCAGCTTTCATCTCTGAACGAAAGCCATTGGTTGGGTCTTTTGGTTGGGGTCTCCCCGCCAGCTTCGCCGAACAAAAGTCCCGATCACTTTCCCTCTTTTAAGGTGAACCTCGCCGTTCATCTCAAGAGCTCCTGATGCAAACTCAAGACAAGCTTGTGTGGACCTGCTCAGGGAGGTGGGTTGGCAGATAGACAGGATGTTTCTAAGTCGTTACTCCCATCATTATTTTTTCCTTCTGTCCTTTGCTCTCTACAGAAAAGTCCGGCCAGCAGGAAGACCTCAAGATGGAAAGCCGAAAGTCTCCTTTGAAAACCCCTCAGAAGATTTCTTTGCTGTCTTCCCCGCTGCGAGCCGTGGTTCGTCTTCGGAGGACAGCCCACGTGCTGAAAAAAGGCTTCTTGCCCGGAGACAGAGTTCTCCAGAGGCAACTTTCCTTGGGGAAAGGCAAATTGAGCAGCGTCTCCAACCAAGCCTCTTTAAACAATTCCCAGTATTTCACGTTCGACACCTCCAGCCCGGTCCCGGTGAACAAACCCAAACGCCGTAAAAAGAAGTTGAGGAACCCCCGGGTGCTGTACCCCGAAAGCTCAAGGAAATACCTGCCCACTGAGCACACCAGCAAAGCCACCCGGTTCCTCCTCTTGTTCGTGGCCATCATCTGCTTCCAGATCCTCAACGCCATCGAGAACTTGGATGATAACCTCATGAAGTACGACCTGGACGGCTTGGAGAAGACCATGGCTCGGGAAGTTTTTGGGCAGCCCTTGGTCATCGAAAGGGTCATGGGGTTGCTGAAGGATTACCTGGCCACCCACGTCCACAACAAACCCTTGGTGATCTCCTTCAACGGTCCAAGTGGGGTTGGGAAGAGTCACATCGGCTGGCTTCTAGCCAAGCATTTCCGGTCCGTGATGGGATCCCATTCTGTGCTCCATTACTTCACAGTGCACCACTGCCCCAACGACACCTCGGTCTCCACCTGCCAACTGGAGCTATCGGAGACCATCGGAGACATGGTGGTCCAAGCTGAAATGGAAGAAGTAATCCCGGTCTTTATTCTGGACGAGGTGGAATTCATGCCCGACATTCTGCTGGAGACCCTGGGTGGCTTCTTCCAAAAGAACCAAACCAACGAATACCTCAACGCTGTCTACATTCTCATCAGCAACCTGGGAGGCGAGGAGATCACCCATCACTTTCTCCAGAACGTCTCCAATGACTCGTTGCAGCCTGAGATGGAAGCGCTCCAGTCCGCTCTTCGACCCGTCCTGAGTCACCTCCACCCTTTCTGGAGAGGGGTGGAGATCGTTCCCTTCGGGTTGCTGGAGAAAGTCCACATCCTGAGCTGCTTCTACGAGGAGATGATGAGCGAAGGGATTTACCCAAACGCCAGCCACATCGAACGCTTGGCTGCTCAGCTCAGCTACTACAAAAAGGCAGGGAAGGAATTTGGAAGAACTGGTTGCAAACAGGTGGTAGCTAAAGTCAATCTCCTATGAGAACAGAAACAGCTAGTCCCCGACTTATAACAGCTCATTTAGTGGCTGTTCAAAGTTAGAAGAGCACCGAAAAAAGCATCTTACGACCGTTTTTTCACACTTACGACGGTCAGGCACCCCCATGGTCACGTGATCAAAATTCAGACCCCGATTCGTATTTATGACCGCTTGCAGTGTCCCGGAGTTACGTGATTCCCCTTTTGGGACCTTTGGACAAGCAAAGTCAACGGGGAAACCACTTAGCAACCGTGTTGCCAATTTAACAGACTGGTCCTTCCTTCTCTCCCCCCTCGTTCAAACGTCGCCGTTTGTGCAAACCACACTATGTGTGATAAACACAGGCTGGTTGCCAAGCACCCAAGTTTCGATCACGTGACTGCAGGGATGCTGTGACGGTGATGCGTGCGAGGACTTATCACTCACTTTTTTTCCTCCGCCCGTCATTAACTTGGAAGAGTTGCTAAAGGAAGAGTCTTCAGTAACTACTTTTCGAAAAAAAAGGGGGGGGCTGGTTGAAGATGGGCAAGGTTAAGTGGGTGTGGTTAAATCGGAATGGGTGGGGCTTCAAGGACCCATAAAAATGGGCCCTTCCCTCTCTCCCCTCCTTCAAACGTTGTCGTTTTGTGCAAACCACAGGGCAGATCGCCACAATAAATAGAACGCGAAACAGGCCACTTTGTCTATTTCTTCCGGAGCTGCCTCTCCAAAGGTGAGCCGGGGGTTGGACTAGAAGACCTCCGAGGTCCCTTCCACCTCTGTTATTCTGTTATTTTTCTGTTACCCGGGATCAGGGGAGTGAGAAGCTAAGGCGAACTCATAGCACCTGTTGGTATTAATCACCCCTGGGGAAAACACCCACTTTTCCCCTTGGAAGAAACTGGCATTCCAAGAAAGGAAAATGAGATTCAGCCGGGGAAGGCAACCAAACCCCACTAAATTAAATTTCTCCTTTGAAAATTGACGTGAGAAGGCGGGGATGCTATAACCAAGCCCCGCGGCTTGCAGATGTCATTCCTACTCATCCTCTCTGCCTTACTCTCCCGGGCCAAGCACTGCTAACCCATCATGTTGTCAGCAGCAACATCTGGATCCAGATCTGTGCCTCGCTGGCTGGGCTTGGGTAGGCGAAGGAAGGAAGGATGGAAGAAGTGATGAGGTTCACCTCCACCCTCTAGGGCTTAAGGGGGAACAGAGAAACTAAGATACAAGACAGAACACGTATCTATGGAGCTTCTCCGTCATCCAGGTCAGGGCTGTCCCGAAAGTGCTTTTCCAAAAGGCAACTGGACTTTGTTTTTCCTTGAAGATATTTCGCTCCTCATCCAAGGAGATTCTTCAGTTTTGACTGGAGGAGGGATACGACACCACCACAGTCCTGTCAGCAGCTCCAAGAAGGTCCCACACATCCATTTGCACGATTCAGGTGACCCTGAGGACACAAGTGGCCTCCACGACGCTCAGAAAAAAAGTGGCGAGCAGAGGAAGGGAAATCTCCACCATTCAGTCAGAACTGAAGAAGCTTCTTGGATGAGAGGCAAAACATCTTCTGCCAGGAAAAACGAAGTCCAGTTGCCTTTTGGAAAAGCAGCTTTGGAAAATAGACAGAACCTAGAAAGGCCAGGATTCTTTTGAGGATGTGCATCTGGACGAAATAAAAAAAAGGGCCATCGAAAACAGGGTGGCGTTACAGTTTAGGAACCCAGAAACTCACCAGAGGCAAAACCAGATTGTTAGATATGCTATTTTTGTGGGTCTGCAGCCCAGACACCTGGAATATATCTCCCCCCACGCCAAAAAAAAATTTGGGCTCATATGCATGAAATCTTTATCAGCGACTTCTTAAAGGCTTCCATAGAGATTGTCCAAATGGCAAAAAAAAAAGTTATATTGGGTTTCCCAACACCCCAAAAATACGCCTCATTCTTTAAACCCAGGCAGTCCAGTGCTGTTGCATGCTCTCTGGAGGAAAGAAAAAAAATCATATTTTTCCCGTCCAAGCCCGCGATAAACTACAGAACGGCAGAATTACATCACCCCCTAGTTTCTCCACCCTAATGAATAATTTCAGGAATGCTTAAATATTTCATTCCTCCTGAGAGTGTCGCTGACCCCAAAGTAGCCATTCCCTAATTGCATTTGGCTTTTTTTTTTTCTTCTTTTCTTCCTTTGGCGAAAACATTCACGCCTTCCTTACGCCATTCCTTGGGGATAAACAGCCCGCTTGAGAGTGGGCGGATGGGTTTAATTGGAAAAACAGAACTGGGGAGGGGGGGTGGGTGGAAATCAAAGCTTGTCAGGTGCCTTCCAGGCAGTCTACGATTATTATGATGATTTTCAAATTGTAAAGGAATTCAAAAACACACACACACACAAAAAAAAAGATGTAGAGACTCCAGAAAGACAAGCAACAAAGATGATTAGGGGTCTGGAGGCCAAACTGTATGAGGAACGGCTGAAGGAATTGGGTTTGTCTGTCTAGGGGTGAGATGTTAGTAGATTCCAATATTTGAGGGGCTCTTAGAGAAAAGAGGGGGTCAATTTATTCTCCAAAGCACCAGAAGGCAGGACAAGAAGCAGCGGGTGGAAACTAACCAAGACAGATCCTAAGGAGAAATTTGATCATTAGGGCACTGGAGGCTAAAACATATGAACATATAAAGAACATATAAAGAATGATTGCAGGAACTGAGTATGTCTAGGCTAACAAAGAGAAGGACCAAGGGTGACATGATAGCAGTTTGCCAATATTTGAGGGGCTGCCCCAAAGAAGAGGGGGTCAGTCTATTCTCCAAAGCACCCGAAGGCAGGACAAGAAGCAACGGATGGAAACCAATCCAGGAGAGAAGCAACCTGGAACTAAGGAGAAAATTCCTGAAAGTGGGAAAAATTAACCAGTGGAACGGCTTGCTTGAGCAGGGGGTTAGACTAGAAGACCTCTACGGTCCCTTCCGACTCTGTTATGCTGTTATTCTTTTGATTACATGATGCTGCCACAGCCGTGTGAGGAATCGTCGTAAGTCCCTGCCATTTAAACGGTCGCTTAAACGAAACGGTGGTAAATCAAGGAGCACTAGATAAAAGAAATATCTTGGCCAGGAGTGTAACGTATAATTGCTGCCTTGTGGTCATCATCAATACCTCATCAGCCCCAAATGGAACAAGCGTACAAATGAAATCATGCCGAGAAAGGTCACTGACAAAGTTAAGGAGCGTAAACAAGTTGCGTAAATGTTGATTACCAGCAAACTCAATTTCTCTGCAGCCTGCATGGATCATAAATCAGTTTGGTTATTGAGGCTGATTTTTCTGATCCTTCCTCTCTCTGCACAGCCTCTTGGGATTCTGCTTCAAGCATTTTTTCCCCATTCCTAGCTTAGGTCATCTTTCTGATTTTTCACTTCTGCTAGCTGTAAGTCCACAAGCGGTCTGGAGGCTAAACCTTATGATGAATGGGTAAGAGAACTAGGTAGGTCCAACCTAACGAAGAGATGGACCAGGGGTGACATGACAGCAGCCTTCCAGTTCTTGAGGGGCTGTCAGAGGGAAGAGGGGGTCAACTTATTCTCCAAAGCACTCAAGGGTAGGACTGGAAGTAACGGATGGAAGCTTAGCAAAGAGAGATTCCGTTCTGAACTAAGGAGAAAATTCCTGACAGTGAGAACAATTCATCAGTAGAAAGGCTTGCCTCCAGAAGTTGTGGGTGCTCCATCACTGGAGGCTTTCAAGAAGAAACTGGCCATTTCTACAGAATGGTATAAGATCTCCTGCTTGGTCCCTTCCAGACCTATGATTCTAAGACTTTAGCCTTTCCTCCAAACCATCATCTGAAAGAGGTAACATCACCTATTTGCTTCCCTTCTTCTCCATGCATTGGGGACTTCCTAGCTTCAGAGAAGAAAGACCGTAGTGATGCCATGATAGCATGAGTTTATGTCACCACAATGTGGTGCTGGCTCCTCCATTTCACAGTCCCCCTAGAGTTGGCTTCCCTGCTTTGCCCCCAAATGATGGGGACCTGCTGGATTTGGAGAGCAGAGTCCACACGGATATCACCATGGCATCAGGTGATGTCCACCCCAAGATTCATGACATCGCTTGCTGCTTCCCTTTTGTAGACCCCTCAATTTGCTTCCCTGCTTCTCCTGAACATTAGGGAGACCTCGTAGCCGAAGAGAATAAAGGTCTTGTTGATGTCTTGATGGGTGTAGACAGGTGAGCGGTGCATACAGTCACCTCTGAGTCAGAACACCTCCCTTCTGAGCCAACATTAATGGGCACGAAAAGTATTTATAGCCTGCAAAGTGAAGTACACTGATCATCGCACCTTCCGAGAAGCTGGAATCGTGGCCGGCACCTCCATCTTCATAATTTGATCTTCCCCGTTGCAAAAAATAAAAATAAAAAATAAAAAAAATGGGGAGATGCTAAAGATTTGCTGCTTTCAAGATCCGCTCCTGGGTTTCTTCTGGGACAAACATCCCATCCTATGGAAGATGTCCAGCTTGGTAGAAACTGCACCTGTTTTGGGAAGTTTACCAGCAAGGTGTCCCTTGGGGGATTCTTCGGCACTCCCATCTGAAAGGTCTCCCGTGTACCCAACACGGAGAGGCAGGAAGCCGAGCCGAATCCTGTACCCTCCGCTGGTGAGGAAGTGTCAACAGCGGAAGAAATCGGATGCCACCAAGAAATGGCTTTTCTTCTTGACGGGCGTGGTTCTTCTGCAGATCTTGATGGAGGAGCCTGGAGAAGACCTGGAAGGCTTTGGCGAGGACCAGTGGCTGGCTGGACCATCCTGTTTGCAGAGCTTCAGGCCGCCACGCAATTCCTCAAGCGACAAAGCAGCACCGGTTGAAGAACCCACATACTGGACTTCGGCGGGGACCCATTTCTGCGAGACGCCACCAACAGAATTTCTTCGACCATGATAAAAGGGTCCAAAATAACCCATCGCCCACCAGAATGCTTTGATGCTGGTCCAAGAAAAGGAGAAGATTGCTCAAAGTCCTGGGAGAAATATTTCGTAAAGTTTCAAGAGGAAAAGGAATGGATTCCCTGACTGAAACACAGGTGAAGGTCAAAGGAGAACATCAAAGAGATGCTGCAGGTCCTGGAAAAAGAACAAAACA